GCTGTGGGTGCAGGGTGCCCCTCAGTGTGACTGCTTTGTGCCACTGGCTCTGTCCACTCAGAGACCCGCGGACCACCAGAATGGAGGCCGTGTCCCTGTGCCTGTCTGGGGGTCCCCAGAGCCACTGTGAGGCCAGGCAGGGTCCCTGCCCCTGGAACCCCCCACTGTGCCAGTACAAACCCTTCCTCATTCCTTGGCCACAGCAGGGACCCCCACATCCTTGGTGTGTGCCTCCTCCCACCCCAGGGGGCTGGACTGGTGGTCCTCATTGGGCACAGGGGACGCGTCCCCATGTCAGGCAGGAACATGACCTGGCACCCGGGTGGCAGGGATGGCTGTAAGGGACGCAGTGGAAACAGGGGCGCTTGCCCAATTCCAGGAGGGAATCAACCTTCGGCCACTGGGGCACCAGGTCCTGCCACCGCCAGACCTGCACCAGCAGCCCCTCACCCTGGGCCCCCCAGGCCACCCCGACCCTCGGCACAGCCGAGCTGGGAGCAGGGGGGTCACACAGGGGGTCTGGGCCCCGCTCACCCCCCAAAGGGGCTCCTGCCAGGAACTGCCAGGGCCCTTCGCCCTGTCCCCCACCATGACCCTGGAGCTGCCGGTGCAGTTGTGCAGCCTCGTGGTGACACGTCCCCGGTGCCGCCGTGCCGGTGGCCCCGTCCCCGACAGCGATGCTGTGCGCGCTGCTGCCGGAGCAGGGGTGGCTGGGACAGGTCCCCGCCTGCCCCCGCTGCCGCCGGCGGTCACCCCGGTGCCCCGGCCACCGCGGCGATGGCGTGGCGGGGACCTGGCAGGGCCCCACGTTCCCACCGGCCAGAGGCTGCCGAGCGCCCGCTCCCGCCCGCCCCCCCCCCCGTAATCTCATTACCGCTGGACGTCCCCTTCTTCCTCCCGCTTCCCCCCAAACCCGCTGGCAAACTGGAGGGACAGTCAGCTCCTCTCTGGCTGCTGGGTTAATTCTGGGCTAATTAGATGAACCAGCCCAGATTGGATTACTTTAGCCTGCATTTGGTCCTCCAGTCCTTGGCTTGCGGCTCCCGGGGGAGCTGCTGGCGCCTCCTGCCTCAATCAGACACTTCTTAACCGCATGAAACACTCCCGGTGCCCCCCGCCGCCCGCCCGCCGCGGGCGCCGGCACCCGGACAGGGTGCGCGGGGTAAGGCGGCAGCAGCCGGTGGGCGCGGTGCCCACCCCGACCCAGCCGACCCGGCGGGAGGGCTGGGATGGGGATGGATGGGGCCAGAATAGGGCTGGGGTGGATTCGGGATGGGGTCAGGAGGGGATTGGGATAGGGTTGGTATAGGGCGGGGATGAGGCCAGGAGGGGATCCGTGTGGCCACTGGGGCTCCCGGGGCCCCGATGGCCGAGTCGCCCGGCCGGACGTCACGGTGGCCCTCGGCGTCTGCGCGGTGTCCTCGGGGAGGAGCCGGTGCCACATGGATGCGGGGGCGGCTGCACGGTGACGCCAACCCCCGGCTGTGGGGGGCTGCTCCCCTCGGGCACCCCCAGGCTGCAGCCCCTGGGGCGGGGGACAGCGGGGTCGAGGGGCCGGGCAGCCCCCGCCCCAGTGGGTACCGGGGACCCGGACTGGGGGTGCAGCTGGGAGCAGGGTCAGAGGAACTGGGGGGGCTGGAGGGGCTGCAGAGGTGCTGTGGTTGCACGTCCCTATCTGGGGGTGTCCCAGTGAGCCCTGCCCGTCGGGAGCACCTGCCATGGCCAGCTCCAATGCCAGCAGGGCAGCAGCCGAGCCCCCAGGCCTTCAGTGGAGTGAGGTCAGTGGGGAGGGGGATAATGCAGGGGGCAGGAGGGGGTACTGCAGGAGTGGGGGGCGCACCTTGAGCTGCAGGACAGGCAGCTCCAGCCCCCCGTGGGGCCTCGGAGCCATGGGCAGGCACACCGGGACCCTCTCCCATGCTGGGTGCTCCTTGGGGTGCTTGTGTACCCCCCTCCCTACCTCCCTGGGGCCCAACACCAGCTGGGGGCTGCTGGGGGGTCCTGCCTGGCCAAGGGCTGCGGTGACAGTGCTGCCCATCCCAGTGGGCTGGGTGCCCATCAGGGGCTGCCACGTGCCAGTGTCCAGTGGCCACTGACAGCCGTGTGCCGGTGGCTGGTGGCCGCTGACAGCCGCGTCGCTCAGGGCCTCGTTATCGAAGGTTAATTGGATTCTGTAGATGCACTCGGTGCATTAGGCAGGAGCTCAGTCCATGAGAGCCCAGCCCCCGCCACCACAATGAGGACCCCCTGCCCGCCTGCCAGGGATCCCTGTACACCCTATGGGGATCCCTGCCTGCCTGCCATGGACCTCTGCCCGCCTCACAGGGACTGCTGGGAGACCCCTGCCCACCCTATGGGGACTCCTGTCCATCCTGGAAGACCCCTGCCTGCCTTGACAGGGTCCCCTGCACACTCCCTACCAGCACTGCTGGGAACCCTTGCCCATCTCGCCTGCCCTGAGGAATCCCTGCCCACCTTACAGGAGTCTCTGACCACCCTGGTGGACCCATGCCCACCCTGTCACAGCTCCCTGCCTGCTTTGCCATGGTTACACCATCCTCAGAGTGCCCATGGGGCCATGACCCAGCATGTGGGGCCAGTGTGGGGCTGGGACAGTGGCTCCAGCCACGGGGACACCAGGATGGGATCTCAGCTCCAGCCCTGGTACAGTGGGACCGACCAGGGTGGCCTAACACTGCTGGCCTGCACCACTGTGGTGATGAGCGAGTCTGGCCTCAGCCCAGCCCCAGCCCTGCTCCCACTGCGGTCACGAACACGTCCGGCCTCGGCCCAGCCTCACTCAGCCCCAGCGAGGGGTCTGGCCAGGAAAGCCCCCGGCAGCACTTCCCAGAAGGAGCCGCCCCGGCCCTGCCGCGGAAATGGAGCTGAATATCTGAGTAGGGCTAAGCTAAAAGCCTCAGCCCCACAGCTCCACGCGGCCCCGGCGGCTCCCGCCATCAATTATTAACGGGGAGATGGATCCGCGGCCTTGTGCGTGCCCGGCTTGCGGGGGCGCCTCCGGGAGCACCCGGTGCCGGGACCCCGGCCCGGGGCGGGCACTCCGCCCCCAGCCCCGTGGGGCCCCTGCAGAGCCACTGACGGAGCCTGCTCCTTGCCTGGCGGGGGCTCCCGGTGCCGGTGCCATTGGCCGGTGCGGTGCCGGTGCCCTGTGCGGTGCCGGTGCCCAGTGCTGTGCCAGTGCTCATCAGGCAGCGGCAGAGAGCGATGCTGCCCCGCCGCGGGACCGCGCTGGCCCCGCTGTGACCCTCGCAGCCCACCGCCCCTCCCCGGATGGCTCCTGGCAGGTACAGATGGGGCCGGACCATCCCCAGCCGGGGGTCACCGGCCCCCGCCGCACTCTCGCCTCCCCGGAGGGGCGGGCACGGGGTGGGCGGGCGGCGGGGGCCGCGGTCCGCCCGGGGCGGGGGCTGGTCCCGCGCCTCTGCCCGCCGGCGCCCCGGCACCGGGAGGAGGGGCTCGTGCTGCTGCCGGTGGGGTGCCGGGGCCCGGCCACACGCGGTGCGCGGCCCAGGACGGGGGGCTGGCACTGGGGGGACACCGGGGCTCGGCCGGTGCCGCACGGGGCCAAGGCTGAGCCTCTCCGATCAGTCGGAAGGGGCCGAGCCAGTTCGGCCGGTGGGACTGGACTGGGCACACTGGGCTGACTGGGCGAGCTGAGGTGATGGCAGCACGTGCTCTGAGTGGGATCTGGACTTCGACCAGGACCGAGACCGGGATCGGGGCCAGGGCCGGGAGCAGGAGCCCCCGGACCCGCACTATCCCTGGCCGTGGCAGCCCGCGCAGAGCTGGTGACGGTGTCGGAGCAGGGCTGGCAGCGCGGCTCCGTACCAGGAGCTCTGAGCCGGGGTGCTGGGTGCCAGCCCGAGCCTGAGGGTCCCGCCGTGGCCCCCTGCCCGTCCCCACTCCCTGGTAAGCAGCAGCCTCCTCCCCGCCGCTCGGGCTTTTGTCCCAGGAGGGTGCCCAGTCCGTGAGGAGCCGTGTGGGGCTGTGGGGGGCACTGAGGGGCCGTGAGGGACCGTGGCGGTGCTCTCGGCTCAGCTCGGCTCCGCATTAGCGCGGCCGCTGCTTCCCCTGAGACAACCCCCTGTTAGCACGGCTCCGACTGCGCCGGAGGGTCCAGCGCACCGGCACCCCGCATCGGACAGCGTCATCCACAACCCTGTCAGCACCCAACACCTGCCACCCCAAACGTCAGCACCCAGGCACCCCGACACCCTGACGCGCCAGCACCTCGATACCCCAGCAACACCCCAGCACCCCGAACAGCCAGAGCCATCCCCAACCCTGCCTGAACCCCGGCACTCCGAGCTGCCAGCACCAGAGTACTCCAACTCTGCCAGCACCCGGCATTCCAAACTGCCAGTGCCAGCACCCCGGCACCCCAGCCTGCGCCCCCGGACCCCCGCAGCCCAGTGCTGACCCCCGCAGCCCAGCCCTGGCCCCCGCAGCCCAGCGCTGGCCCCCGCAGCCCAGTGCTGGCCCCCGCAGCGCAGTGCTGACCCCCGCAGCCCAGTGCTGGCCCCCGCAGCCCAGTTCTGACCCCCGCAGCCCAGTGCTGGCCCCCGCAGCCCAGCCCTGGCCCCCGCCCCGTGTCCCGCCGTTGCCCCCATCCCGCTCCCCGCGGGTCCCCCCGCTCCCCGCGGCGCTCTGCTGCCCCCTGCCGGAACCACGAGCACGCAGCGCCCTCTCTGATTGGCGGCGGCTGCTGCCTGTCAAGAGAGCGCCCCCTCGCTATTGGTCATCGCTATTAGGAACACCCTCCCCCAGAGCACGGCGGGTCCGGTGGCGGCGTCTCCCCGCGGGTCCCCCGGTCACGGACAAGTCTGAGGGGTCCCGGGATCCCGTCCGCGGACCGTGGCTAGGGGTCACCACCGGGGCGAGCCCACGCTGCCCACCACTCTACGCGACGCGCGGAGCACGCCGGGAGTTGTAGTCCCATCGCTCGCCGCGGCCCCGCCCCGAACCCGGAAGTGCGCGGGGCCACAGGCGGAGGCGGCTCTAAGATGGCGTCGCCTCCTCAGGGGGGCCCGATGGCTATCGCCATGCGGCTGCGGAACCAGCTCCAGGCCGTCTACAAGATGGACCCGCTGCGGAACGAGGCGAGCGGCCGCATCGGGAGGGCGGGAGGCACCGGGAGGAGGCGGCGGCGGCAACGCCGGGGCCGGCGAGGGCGAGGGCGGGAGGTGCCGCGGCGCCGCCGCTGGGGGGCGCTGTGAGACCGAGGGGCGGGAGAGGGGGCGGGGCCTGGAGAGAGGGGCGTGGCCAAGGGGCAGGGCCGGGCACTGGGCTGGGGGGACCCGCGGCCGTCCGGGTCCCCAAAGTCCTGGTTTATGGCAAAATAAGCGAAGACGGGGGACCAGCCTCCCAAAATCTTGTTTTCTGGAGTAATGTAGGGAATATGTAGGGCCAGCCCCCGCCAAATCCTGTTTTATGGCATAGTAAGGGAAGACGAGGGGGCAGCCCCCCAAAATCCTATATTCTGTCATAACTAGGGAAGACAGAGTGGCCTGCCTCTCAAAATCCTGTTTCCTGACACAATAAGGAGAGGCAGGAGAGCCTCTGTGAGCCGCAGAGGGGGATTTCCAGGTGAAAGGATCTCAGGGGGCTCTGGGTGACGGGTGATGTGTCCCTGCAGGAGGAGGTGAAGGTGAAGATGAAGGAGCTGAACGAGCACATCGTGTGTTTCCTGTGTGCTGGGTACTTCATCGACGCCACCACCATCACCGAGTGCCTGCACACCTGTGAGTGCCCTCACCTGTCCCTGGGGCTGTGGGGGGGCTGCACGCCTGTGATTGCCATGGGGGTGCAGTCCCGGCCCCACCCCAACCTGTCCCTGTCCCCAGTCTGCAAGAGCTGCATCGTGAAGTACCTGCAGACCAGCAAGTACTGCCCCATGTGCAACACCAAGATCCACGAGACGCAGCCGCTGCTCAACCTCAAACTGGACCGGGTCATGCAGGACATCGTCTACAAGCTGGTGCCCGGCCTGCAGCACAGTAAGGGGGGCACAGGGGGGCACAACCTGCAGCACAGTAAGGGGGGCACAGGGGGGCACA